AAAATCACTAGTACCTACGATTATTTTCGGTTTTTCTCTTCCTATATTTGTTACGTCCACAATATTATTAACTTTCAAAGCTTCTCTTTGGGATAACAATTCACTTACATCCTTTCCTTGTTCTCTTCACCTCTTTATTTTTGCTGTTAAGCGGTTTTGTTCTCGTTCTTTGTCTTTATCTCGATATGCCATGGCCTTTTTATTATTATATTTATTATTTTAGACGTGATAAGCATGACTTTAGTTACATAATAAGACATGACAATAATGCTATTACAACTTGAAATGTAAAAATTCCGTTCAAAAAAAATGTTCCGCAAAAGAGGGTTAGTTTCTTTTTTTAGGTTGGGTTTTGTTTTTCTTATTAACAATTGCGTTCTTTTTCCAGTTGTTCTTTAAATTCTCGATTTCAGCCTTCGCCTTCGTAACCATTATGGTTCTGGAATTCCATCTGTAGTCCGCCAATTTTGATTTGGTATTTGCTATTAAAAAGAATCCTCTTCAAAATAAATTTCGCTCTTTTCTGGTTTACAAACTATTTCTGAAAAAAGTTCTTTTACTTCCATGTTTCTTTTAGCGAGAGAATATTATGAATGGGGAAAGGATGCTCTATTTTTGCACAACCTTCGTAAAAAGCCCGACTAGGAAAATTAATAGTCCACTCAGGATGAGAAAAACCAGAAAAAACCTCTTAGGATTTTGTTCGATTAAATTTTTATAGTCTATCATATTTAGTGTTGCACAGTGTTCATTCTCGCAGTTTTAGAGCAAAAAAAATAGTGAAGAGATTATTGAAGAATTGAGAAAAAGAAATTGAAAACCCAAGCAAGGCAATTTTATTATGTTTCATGCTTGACTTCAATAAATCAAAAAAGAGATGAATATTGGCAATTATATTCAATTAGAACCACATACTTTAAGGAGATGGTTTGCCACTTATAATGCGATAAATGGCATGCCTTTGCCGATACTACAAGAATTATTAGGACACAGCAATATAACTACTGCCGCCATCTATGTGCAAGAAGCCGAGTTAGCCAATTTGGCGGAACATAAACCAATTTAGGAAGCTGGAAGGAAAGTTTGCATAATATAAAAGTTAAATCCCATTGCTGTACTATTAAAAAATCCGAAATTACTGCCTGCTAATTTTGTCTAGTTTCTAGTATTTAAGAGAGTTTTTTGAATAAGAAACTGACATTTTTTTTCGCATAATATAAATAAAAGTGGCTGTTCGATTTCTTAACCAAAAAATATAATTACTGTAAAGTCGTATATAGACACCTAAAATCTTTTTAAATGTCCCATAATTTTCAATCAGAAGCAATCTGAGAAAATTCCTCAGAAGTAAATAACATTGAAGTTTCTTCGCCGGTTCCTTTTCGTTGAGAAATCAATACTCCCCATTTACTTTCGGCCAAAGTTATTGGTAATCTATTATATTCAATTTACCGCCAAGCACAACATACTTTTGATTACCAAATAAAAATTGCAGAAGAAAGCCCGCAAATTGACAAAAATACCATTCAGGAGTATTTTTTCTTAATTTGAGCGACGCCTTTCTTTTGAAAAAACAAAAATGATTTACTATTTTTTTGTCAACAAGAAAAATCACTGACC